GTAAATATGAAAACAGTCATTCACCAAAAGACTGGAATTTATTTTGTAATTCCAAATGCTGTACTCGTCATATACTGTGAGACACATGCAGATTAACATGTATTAGATTCATAAATGTCTGATATGTTTAAGCCTCTAGATACAAACATTGCAGTTTATTCAGGAATTTTCTGATATTAGTCACTCTTGTTTACTGCTTTTTCTGTCTGTTGTGTTCTTTTTTAAAGTGCCTCATAATGGTCTCCCATTTTCTTAGTTGTTGCTTTAATTCTAAAATGTGCATAAGCAGTCTCAGCTGTGCTGCCCTATTCTGGAGGAAATACTAGAACGTAGACTCAATTTATATATAGAATCAGTTCACCCAAAACTGGTGTCTACTGTTTTGATACATATAAATAGAGGGAATCATCCAGAAATGTATGTAATAAGTCTGGAGCAACCAGAGAATTCAGACATGCACCCCTAATTCCCTGCCTTACTTTTACTGTTGAACTAAGCCTTATTACTACTCTTGCATTCCCTGTGATGTAACATAAATGTGAAATCAACACCATTTAGGGCCAAATTACTAAGCTACATATGTCATTATCAATACTCAATGGTTTCAATTGTATTTGTGTCCACTTTCCTGGAGCAAGCAGGTAGATAAGTTGTTCTGACATCACTGGCTACATACTTGTTCAAGATCAGGGTACTCTAAGCCTTCAAGAGTCAAAAAACAGATCTTTCCTTTCCTTCCATCGTCTTCTCTCTCTCTTGAAAAGGTGTTGCAATCATGGGTTCCCCTCCCTGATTCACAGGGATCCGATCAGGTTCCTTCCTTCTAGCCAGTCAACCAGGCTTTCTTCTGTCATTAGATATCTTCAACGCCTCTAACACAGTTCTATAGGATATTCTACATTATGTCCTCAATCCTTGGTCCTTTGACTCCAGCTTTCAAGCCTGTTGAATTTGCAGGTTTCCATTGCAAAACCAGTCTCTTCCTAGATGACATGCGTCTAACTATAACTCACCCCAAAACTTTTCAACTCGTACAGCAATTCTGAACTATTTCGGAACTCCTCATAAGTTAGTCTAAATTGGCTGCCCTAAATATCACACTCCCCCTTAAACAGCCAACTTACTGAAAGGTAATCATCCCTTCCAATAGGCCTCAAAATCCTTGGAAACTCATGCACACTTATGACTCTTTATATCAGCCAATTAAACCAGCCAATTATCCATCCCAATTTAAGAAACTTAAATCATGCTGGCCACCTGAACTTCCCTTACTATCTTCTGGATTGGCCACATCCACTCAATCACTCTACTGCCCAAGCTTTATATGTTTTCCGTACACGCCCAGTCCCCATTCCAGTGTTATGTCCTTTGTTGGAATAAAATAAAAAATTAAATCAAAAAATCTTCCGCATTTTCAGAAAAACTATGTTTATACACACAGAAGGGACGGAGAACTGGTGGTTCCTTATTGGCTCAAATATAATCAGGTGGACCATATAGCCTATATAGACACTACATACTGTATACTGAATCTTTCCTGGTGGATACTGCTAGACAACCCAAACTCTTCTCCAGTTGCCATGGCTACCCTCTCATGGATCCTTAAACACCTTCTCCCTCTATTCCTCAGTCCTATTTTATACCATGCCCTAAAGTTATTGGATTCCATCAAATGTTTAAGCTCACTAGTCTCAGCACTGCTACCTATGTCCACACTAGTGGGTATTCCCACGTTCCCACCCGCCCTGGAAAATTCTCTAGCTTTTCAATGGTGGGTGGACACAAATTTTAACACTGTATACTAAATGCAGATACCGGTGTTCTGTTGAGAACGCCGACGTAGTTGAATTTGCTGACCTCAGCATCTGCGCTTGCGCACAGACCAGTATTATCGAGGAAACGGATTTACAAAGTATTTTGTTTAAATCGTTAACTGTGACTGTTAATAATATTCCATCCGTCATTTACTGCCATCCATCATTTACTGCCATGGATGGCATATTATTAACGGTCACAATTAACCATTACAAACAAATACTTTGTAAATAAATGCCGGTTTCCTCGTTAATCCCGTATGTACGTAAACGCAGATACTGGGTTGATGTTCGACAGAACACCGGCACTAAAATTATAAACAAGCGGCTGCCTGAGGTCCCGCGCTTGCTGGGGAGCTCGGCAGTTTTCCTGTTAACCATGCAGTGCCAGGGGGGGGGGGCCTTCATGGTTTCTTGCACAGGGGCCCTGAAAGTTCTAGTTACGCCTCTGCTTCAATATTGAAATTTGGTAGTAATTAATACTAAATATCAGCTTATACTTCCACATTGAGAAACAGTAGAATTTGCATTAATTCCTTTTTTGCCTTCCAGTGTCATGTTAAGTAAACAAAGATTACAGCATTTGTTTGCACTGTATTACATATGGAAATGACATCAGTGGATGAGAATGACAGCTTTATTTAGTAACATTACACAGTAGGCAAGACTGTCCCATCACACTCTTCAGGTGTCTTGTAACTGTAGGACTGCATTACTGTACTAGAAGGGGAATATGATTCAGAGGAAGACATAACTGGTCTCTGGTCACGTAGCTTCCTCACGCCAGCTGACTGTGTTTCAAAACCAATACCATATACATCCTAGCCTTAACACTTGAAACCCCAGAAAAATGACACTTAGATATTCAAGAGATTTTACTGAAATACTGATGGTCATCCATTTGTAGAGTTTCACATTGTATATTTGATCTGAGTTTTAGCATATTTTTTTTGCTCTGCAATGTCAGAACCTGCACAGAGTTAGGTGTAGTAGGATACAATGAATATAACGATCATACAAATTCATATTGAATATATATAGTTATATACAGTATAATATAACTATCATATATATTCTTTAATCAACATAAAGTAAACACATTTTTCATGGAGTAGTGTTTCTTATACAAGAATAAGAGGTATCAGCAAATGAAATGGGACATTTTCAGTAAAACTCTTTTGGGGTTGTTCTTATGGTAGTTAAGAATTGTTTGATTCTCCTGTATATAAGCATGAATATTTTTTTCAAACTACTGAGAAGCAGACATTTCACGAATCATTTCCTTTACATTTCCTAACTCGCAAGATTTCCTGCAGTTCAGATAGTTCTATATGCAAATATGCAGGAGAATAAAAAGGGAATATTTATTATTTATTACAGGCACCAACAATCTACATTATTGTGTGTGTATATATATAGATATATATTATTATTATTATACAGGATTTATATAGCGCCAACAGTTTGCGCAGCGCTTTACAGTATAACGAAGACATTACAATCACAATTCAAGACAAGATGGTAAGGGGGGCCCTGCCCATGAGAGCTTACAATCTAAAAGGGAGGGGCAAGTGATACCTGAGGAGGCAGCTGTGTGGGGATGAGTTGTTCGAGAACGTGATGGTTGAGTGGTTAGGTTGAGGTGGGATAGGCTTCCCTGAAGAGATGAGTCTTAAAGGATCGCCTAAAGGCAGTCAGAGTGGGAGATACTTGAATACTCTTCAGTTCTCCTGATTTAAAGGTGAACTCCTGGAATGATCTTTTATAGATGAATGCAACTAAATCACGCAAATATCATGTCCTAGCATATATAACCTATGTAATATCTATATTACAATAAAATATTATAAACGAATGTATTACTATGGTTAAATGCTTGCTACCTCTACCAGGGATGATTAAAGGTGAACTCCAGGAATGATCTTTTAGGTAGGCTTACACTGGTCCAACTTGGCTTAATGTACTGTAAGTATCCATATCTGATACCTAGAGGACCACTGGGGATGCTGAAAATCACTGTAGTAGCCTGAGCTGTAACAGTGATAACTAGTCTCTTCTGATTGTGACTCCAGCGGCTTCCCCTCTGCACTCTGACCACAGGGAGTCGTTTGTCCATCACTGCCACCATTCAGAGAACACCTTATATTTGTTTTCAATGAATACAAGCCTTTCTCTGATTGGACGAGATGAAAAGGAGGGGGCGTATGACATCACAACCTCCACCTAGCATACTCTGAATGGCAGTGGTGCCAACTGAGCGACTCCCTGTGCATTCCACTGCACTAGGTGAGAGGTTTTGCAGCTTCCCCTAGCGCAACACTCTCAGTTTTGCTGCTAAACAGCCATTAAAAATATGCTGCCCGGTGTAGAGTGTCAGCTTGAGGTGGGGTGGGCTAAGACCGTGAGGGAGCTCCATCCATATGTGCTTTGCTTACAGCTCCCTCGTACCCTGTAGAGGTGCCTGGACCAGAGAGATGTCACATTCTGGTCCCCGGCACCTCTACAATGCCCGCAAGGGAGCTGTACAAGCAATGTAGATCTAAATATGATTGTACAGAGACTGCATGGGCAGATTGCTGAAATTGCACGATAGATCGATAAATCGCTTAGTGTGAACGGGGTCTAAGATCAGTGCTCATTGTATCATTTTTGTAGGATCTGTAGGATCCGTGGGTCTCTGGTGGCTGTTTACTGTAGCACACTGCAATCCCTTCAGGGCACAAGCACTAAACTGGAATGTTTTGCTTTGCAACTTAAAAGCCACGAACATAAACACAACAGCAAGTTCCTGTCACATTCCATGAGTTATTATGTCACTTATGGATGGGGAGAACAAATAACCGTCCTAGTCTTGGCCTGGCCCTGGAAGCAGCTGAGCCATTCTGGAAAAGGAGGTCACAATGCACAGAGGACAGCCCCAACCCACACCCACCAGCACCTCTCCAACCGGTCTGACATCCACCGGCCCCGCCCACTACCTGTACCGAATGTCTCCCTGACCAATCACAGCCGCCGCCCTAACGCGTCACGCACAGGTGAGCTCCCGGAAAAGGAGAAACACAAAAAACAACAAGTGGGCGGCGTAACGTGGTACGTGCGTCCGAATGACACGCCGAGGAGCCGGAGAAGCTGAGGTAGCAGTCGCCCGTGACAAGCGGACACAGGGCCAGAGAAGACCGAGGTGGTACGCAGCGTGCGCTTGGAAAACACTGAGAACCTAGGAGCTCCTCCTTTGGTTTCCTGAAGTGAGAGAAAGAGCAGCTCCGGCCCCTCCTCCTGCCTGCCGCCTCTCCTCTCACACGTCTCCGCTGGCAGTGCAGTGAGCGGTAAGGGCGGCTCGCAGAGCCTGGAATAGCACGGCACGTGTTCGGGAAAGAATGGATACAGACGGAGCCCAAAGACATAGAACGAGCCCAGTGTGACCCGGGCGAACCGCCGCCGCTCTACACACCTGCTGTGCCTTGTACGACGTCCATTCCGCTGACGGAGGGGGGAATGGCCTGGGTGAAACTGTTCCGCCGCCAGGCTGGGGGGAACCTGGGGAAGGTCTACCAGCCGGGCAGCGTCCTCTCCTTGGCACCTACCAAGGGCCTGTTCAACGAGCCCGGCCAGAACAGTTGCTTCCTCAACAGTGCCGTGCAGGTGAGCGCTACCTTGTGTGCGCTGGGTGTTGGTGTGTGTCTGGCAGCCGGCCATCTTTTACTGAACCCGAGTATGGTTACTATTGGTTACTGCGCTCACCATGGCCTTATACGGCGCCTGCCGGTCATGTGACTCTACCTGGGAGCTTGAACAACAAGAGGAAGCTACAGTGCAGCCAGCAGAGTACACTGGGTTTTTTGTTTTTTTTTCTAAACTAGTTTTCCATAGTAACCAGCCAGCCTCTATCTTCAGTTTAGGTTGTGAAATATAGATGCTGATTGGTTGTTATGAACTGTACAATTGTGTAGTGTATGTCCAGCCTTCAATTTACCAAAACTATTTGATAGGAGTACAAGCCATAACAGTATATTTGATAGGTATCAAATCAGACGGGCTCTTGTACTATATACTTAATGGTCATTCTAAAGGAAAGTGTAGAATCAGATTGTGTAGTGTTGGTAAGCCTTACTTTACAATGACTGCCTCTGATCTAAGAGAAATTGGAGGCACCACCCCTTCCTCCACAACATAGACTATGCTATGTACTACATCAAATAGTACGGTTTGGTTATAACCGATGCCTCCGATTGCCCTTAGATCCGGGACAGTAATTCTAATGTAAAGGACCATTTCTGGCAGCCTGTTATGTTTGAAGCATCACCCATAGCAACTGGTACATTATTCTTTTTTTATTTGCCCAATCCAGATGAGATCAAGAATCTGGTTGCTGGGAGCACACAGTTCTTTTTTTCTTTTTCAGACCCTTTTCATGCAAAAGGCCCAGTGTGGATGCATTTCTGTAGTGTGTGTGCTGTACCATGTATGTTGACAACTGTACTGTCCTATGTAATGGTGTGACAGCATGCATTGGCTGGTTCAATGTCATTTCATGTTGGTGTAGGATGCCTGGTTTTGTGTACCAACATACATTCCATAGTGACCTAGTGCCCATCCTGCTGCCCGGGGGCACTTATAGTGTGGCCCTGGGGGGTATTGGTGCTTACGCAAGCCATTGAAGGAAGATTATTCTTTAAACTGTCTCCCAATAGTTACAAGGTTTTGTTTATTTCGTTCACACTGTTTTTTCCGTTCTGTCCATCCCATTTCTCTGTTTGTTCCCTCTATTTATTTCCGTAAAAGATTATAGAGAGGTTAAATATGGCAAAAGTAATTTCCCCAGTCATCTTCCAGGACAGCCATCGAGATATAGGCTCCGCCTGCCTGCAACAGTGGGTGTATGAGGAATTGGAAAAGTTTGGCAGTAATAGCAGTGATCTCTACCAGTCTTGTGTAATGTGTCTAGAGTCTGACCCTCTCCTGTCGCGTGTCTGCGCTCCCTGACCCTCTCCTGTCGCGTGTCTGCGCTCTCCTGTCGCGTGTCTGCACTCCCCGACCCTCTCCTGTCGCGTGTCCTGCAGTCGCACTGGCAAAAGGGTCTCCATTTGTGTATCTGTATTTAGCTATATCCATGCACGAAGGCTTAGCTATACTCTGTTTAATTCACAAAGCTATTATACCAGGATACGAATAGTTAACAAAGAAAAAATAAAGTGATAGCAATTTTAAGCTGAGTCCAGTGCGATTGGAAAATTAGTCTTGTGGCTAAATTGTTATTGTTATGCTTTGTGAATCACTTTATTTCAGCAATCTTGATAACTGAGTCAAAATATGGTTGCTCATAGCTGCCAAATATGAAGTTATAGCACTGTTTTTTTTTAATATCTCTTGGAGAATTCTGTGGAATCTTACCGGACAATAGTTGCACTTCCTTGCTTCGACTTTCATAAATCAGCTGCAGTGTGTCAGTCTGTGGAGCACACGTGTTCTGCATATCCTTGTCATGTTGTGTCTGCTCTCTGTCAGATCTATGTCCAAGTGTATACAGTATATAGCAGAGTCCCCCAATGTCAGCAATCATTGAGTATATGCTCTAATAGGTTTAGGGTTCTGCCATCAGGTGTTTGTGCTCCTTTAGCGTGTGTACAAATCCAAACAAGAAGCAAGAGTTGGATTTGTATAAAACTGGCTACACATTGAGTGAATGTTAGCCATTTCTTGAACCGACCTAGATGCACTTGTTGGGTGGCCATGTACGCAGTCTTTTGATCAGAAAATTGAAGGCGGCCAGGTGGAACATTCTCAGCCGAACAAATTCTGACAGCATCAGAATGTGGCTGGGTGTGTGGCTGTCAGAATGCCCAAACAGTGACTGCAACTGATTGGCTGTCAGAATACAGAACATTGACTGCAGCCACACACCCATCGCTGTCTGCATACAATCGCCCAGTGGGAGATTCATCCTTCCACATTGTTTAGCATAGATGGTGGAATCTGTCAGTTGTTGAATGAAAAAAACCTAACCCTGCATGGGTAGCTTTAGCAGCGATATTGTTTATAGATGTATGTAGGTCTGTTGTTGCTCTTATTACAGTATATTTCTTGTGATCTCAGTGTTCTGCTTCTGTCAGTAATTTTGCATTACAATATTTGTAAATTTATTGTACCGAAGAAAATGTTCATACCTCTGTGTTTCTGTGCACAACTCTGAAGGTATCTTAAAGTTGTAACACTGAAATATCATTGCCTGAATACAATTAAGTTCTTACCTGTTCCAACCGACTCATAGTTAGTCTTGTCCAGATGAGGTCTCTAGGTTTAAGTTACACTCATTCCAATTTATTGTGATAAAGTACAGATGTTACTTTTTTAATACGTTGATGCTTTGAGTAAAGATTGATTTGTTTCGATTACCCTTTAATTTGTTGTGTTGGTGGTATTTGGAAGTCATGTTGTAGTTTTCAGTTTTAGACCCATCATGCAATGTCAAATCCTTGCAAGAATAAAGAAGGAACTTGTCATCTGTTTTGTGTTTAAACAGGACCTTTACCATATCTTTGAAATAACAACAAACGCACCTTTTTAGAAATGTTTAGCAATGATAATCTACAAATACATACTGCAGAGAATCGCAGGCTTTGTATTTTGTGCATTCCTTATTTCTCTTTTCTTCCCCAGTCTTCTCACAGTGACAATTTTTAATAAGGCCAGATTACTAGATCTCCCTTTACTTCCTGGAACTTTGACACATGTGGCTAGATTATGTGACCGTGTACATCATATTAGGGGAGGAAAATGCCTTTCTCTGAGAACTCGTGAGATTTCCCAACAATGCTCTGCTGATGTAACACTCCCAGGATGCAACACTTGGGCACGATTACATTACTAATGCCAAAGAAGACCAGGAAGCCACTTTTTTTTTTTTTTAGTTTAAAATGGGCTTTCAGTGCATTCTAGGGTGTTTGCATGCATTTTTGATGCGTTTGCATGCGTTCCACAGCAGGTAAAATAGGGCCTGCTGCAGTTTTTTTTTACCTGCTCTGGAACGGAGCGCTGCGATGTGAACTGGAGCTAAAAATACCATTGGAATACATTGGACGCAGTTTTGCTCCGGTCTGCAACTGCTCTGCTCCTGGAACGCGCTTGGTGTGAACAAGGCCTTAAAGGGGAACCAGTTATCAGAAATAACCTGTTTTTCTGATATTAGTAGTGACCAAGGTGATTGTTTTATGGTTCTTTTAATAACATACAGTACATTAATGCCGGACTGGTGACTTGTATTGTAGGAATTTTAACTCCAGACATACCATATTCTGTTTTTTTTTTTATTATTTTGCTTTTTTGGTCAAAGGAAATTCAGGTTGTAATTAGCCTGCAATACCACCTCCTCTTTCCCCGCCCTTTTCTTTTGCTAGACCGAACTGAATAGCAATAATCGGTGCTGCTACTTTTTTTTTTTTGCATCTAATACTAACCAGTTCCCTAGCTCTAGCTATAGGAGTCATTGTTGAAACCTAATTACAAAAGTGATGGCAAGAATGGATTTACTATTTAAAATCACCATATACCAAATTGTAATATATAGAACTGGAGGAGTTTTATTTAATTTTTTTAAGGAATCCCGTGCTAAGAGAAAATGCAGAGGCTGCCATTGCTGAACTACTTGTGTCTCTCGGTTGAAAACACATGCAGATTTGGCAACTCGGTGACATCAAATTTCCATATCTGCATTCTTGTTCTGTGTTTGTGACTTAGGAAAAGTGTTGAAACCATTGGATCAGCATGACTGCCAGAGAATTCGTATGCTCAAAGAGGAGACCAGCAATGGTAGCTTTCATAATATATACTACATGCTCCGTTTGATACTTGTTCCACAAATGTGTAACTCTATCAGAATTTATCTAGCCCTGGGCTGGACAAATCCCAGGAGCCAGGTAGCCCCTGTTCCTTAAAAATCACAGCTTGCCTAACTTTTGAGGATTTCTCTAGTTGTCAATTGAGCTGGCTCCTAGTCCTGATGGCTCCAAGATTGCGTTGACTGACTCCTAAATTCCATATTTGTTCACCCCTAATCTAGCCACAAGGTTCCTGCAAACCTTGGATAATCTCTATTTTAATTGAGATTTTCAAGGGAACAATGATGACTGGCTCTTCTGTGGGGTGTCTGAACTTTTATGGAATTTATTTTTGGCTGCCCCCCACTGCTTTTACATTTGAATGAACACTGCTTCCCCTCCGTGACTTCGTACTCCATACACAACATTGCAGTCCAGTGCTAGATATTTCAAATTCCCCTCACAAATGGAAGCATTCTTGCTATGAAGTGCTTCTCATTTATCAGTGTGGTCAGAAGCAATTCTCATTGGTTGCCTTTTGCGAGCGTAATGTTAAATACATTGTGCAGGGCTGTGATGCTGTGTACGATGTACGGACTGTACATTGGGAGCCACGGAGGGGGAGCAGCGTTCATTCAAAGGTAAGAGGAGGCAGATTGGTGGGGGGTAATTTCATTTTCCCAAATTTGCCTGGGAAAGTGGAATTACCTTTTTTAAGGCTTGGTTTACACTTATGCATTGTGTTAACGCAAAGGGCACTGACATGCGTTACTTTGTGGGTTAATATGTGTTGTGTTAGGTCAAGCCATTTATTTGCCTGAGTTCCCT